CCATTCCTTAATTATTTAAAGTTTTAAACTTAGAAAACGTTGAGAAACATTAGAAACATTTACAATAAAGATTACGTTACCAGTTTGGAATACACATTCTCCTGCCACCGATTTGCTTTCTGCTCCAAAAGAAAAGCCCTGATAACTTGAGCCATCCTTCAAAACCAAAGTTGCAACAACAGTATCAGCTTTCGAAACTGAAGGAGGAACTGTGACTGGTGGAATTGGTGAGCGTGGTGACGGAAATACTGGATTTTGCACCTTTACTTTTTTTTCCATAATTTGTTTTAAAAAAAAAGGAATATGAAGATTATCTATATTTTTTCATCGGTTTGCCTGATTGGTTGATTTGGATCATTCATACCATTGGTGGATTATCTGAACCGTGATACAATAGATGGCCAGTTCAGTATATTACGTACGTACGTACGTACGTATCCAAAAAAATAGAGGAATTAGACCTGCCGCTTGGGAATGACCACTTCTCTAAGTCGCCACATGGCCCAAATCTATTGATGACTGAAAAACGTAATCGCGGGATTACTGTGCCACAAAGTACTATGACCATTTGACTTACAAAATCGCGATTATAGGGATTATCGATTGTTTTATCTATATACCGATTATTAGATAAAAAAGCTGGTTATAATCATTTTTGCTCAAATATTGTATAAAAAATAGCGTTAAACTAGCACAATTACTTATAAGGCGAAGAAGTTTCAACAGAATAGCTCTAGAGGTTAACGAACATTTTCGTATTAGTAAATGTCATGCCAATTCGCAGTATTTTACTTGAAATCATAGTGGTTTGTTATAACAATAAGCAACTTCATAAAAAAGAAATGGAATTTATTATTAATTTACAATCGATCGTTACATTTTTTATGCGCTTAATAACTGTGGCAGATTAAAATGAAATTAGATTGCAAAATAGATTATGCTATTTACGATCAAGCCACAGGCTTAAACAACGTCGTATTATTTTGGGCCCTTATATGTAATATTTTTTAAAAATTAGACCCTTATATAAAATTATTTTTAACTTGACCCGTATTTGTAATTATTTTCAATTTCCGGGCCCTTATTTGTAAATTCCCCTAAAAAAATTATGTGCGCGTGACAAATTGTCAAGCCGATCACTTTTGCCAAGAAAAATTTTAAAACTTCTCGATCATATGCGAGTTAATACACATCGCAAAAATAAACTGATTATGTATTCACCAGGGCAAGCTTTATTATATAAAAATCAAAATAAAGTACAGAATAAAATATGGAATACATAGAAATTTGCATATTTAAACAAATAAAGCTTCAGTCCAGTATTAATTTTCTGATAAAAAATTACCCGAGTTATTTTGCTAATCTTGATTTAGAATACTTCGCTATTTACGATACTAATATTTAATAAATAAAATACGTTAAATTAAAGGTTATTAGAATATACAAAATAAAATAAAAATGAGCATTTGTTGGTTAGTTATCCAGGTTACACCACGTGGAGGTCAATGCTCGAGTAACCCGTGTACCACACTTGGTGGATTTGGAATTAAGGAATGA